ACTATAAAATAGGTTGTATAGCCTGTATGTGTATGTAACCACACTCCCCTCTTAGTTCCTAGAATTAATTTGCCACAAAATTCTGGAACAGCTAGAATACCGTATGAATATCATTTTCTTGGAATGATTATAAATATTCAATTTAATGCTTACAATCAATATTACAATATAAGTTATGTGAACTCAGATGGGATAGCATTAAAATTACAGAACAATATTATTGTTGTGTAATTTTAATGCTATCCTGTCTGATATAAAATCAAAAATGGCAAGGAAAAAGTTTTTCATTTTTTTCATTTTCAGAGTGCAATCATGCAGTGTATGTGTTTCTGTGTGAGAAAGAATAAAGTATGTAATAGTGAAGAACTTTTAAACTTGATGAAAAATATCCTTGTTAAAAATAATGTATGTTCTACAATCGAACCTGCTAACACTCTAAAATAAGGACACCTTATATAGTCAGGATATGCAGGTAGTTGCAGTCCTAATATAAATGTGTATTAATAAGCCTCTGAAATAAGGTCATTTCCATAATTAGAACAGAATTATTGGGTTCCAAGGTGTCCAGAATAGACTGGGTATTGCTGCATGTACATTGCAATTAAGCACTTATCAAAATTTAATCTATATAATGTAATAGTGCTTATTTCTTGATACTCTTGTCAAATTTCAAAGTTTTTTATCCATAATTTGCAGGGTTACTGAAAGAGGAGGGCTATAAACTGCCAGGGTTCGTAATAGATCTTAATCACAATTTAAATTTAATTTGAACTAGAATTACATGCATGCTAGTTATAAAAAAAGTAAATAAAAAATAAAAAGGAAAATTAATTGTCTAAGTCTAAGTTTGAGCAGAAAGAAAGTCACCTATATCTCTAAATTCTTTTCCAGTAATACGATAGGTTGCTTTAGCTTGAATTTCTGTACCGCTAAAATTCATACTGACATCAACTAGACGCTTTTCCCTTGGTACATTATCAGGATTAGGAACATCAATAAGTAATTGACCTATTTTTGCAACTGTGCTTTTGCTATCTTTATTATTGATGTATTGAACTCCAAGATTAGGAGTGGAATAAATACGAATGGTAATTTGTTCAGCTAATCGATGAAGTGGTGTCAAACTCATTGTAATGACTTGATCAACTTGCACTAGCTCTCCTTTTTCAAAAAACACACAAAATACATTATTGCACCTGTATTCTTTTTCCTCTTCATTATAAAACTTGTAATGTTCATCATGCTCAGCATCTTTAAATAGTATAGACACTCCTATCCCATAAGTAGCATCAGATCGTCTTGCTTTAATCTTCTCTGGATTCTTACGCCACATAGCAGCTCCTGTAGCAACAGCTAATTGAGGAGTAGGAGGCACTATCACATTGGCATTGCAATAAGACAT